ATGGAGGCTGCCTTGGGTCCTGAGGTCACTCATCCACTAACCTGATTTCATGTAACTAATAGCAAACAAGGACAACTGTAAACTAAATGGCTGTCACAGGGATAGTGAAAGAACAGTTGTCAGTAAGTTGTCAGTGCTTGGTAAGTTGTTTAAAGTGCAAAGCCCTGTGGGAAGTGCTCACATTTTGAACCTCTTAGCTGTTGGATGGCTAAATGTTCTACAGTTTGGCCCATAGACAGGCTCATCTCTAACTCTTGACTTAAATTTTTTCCTGAAAAGATTATGTATAACATCAACAAGACTGTACCAGAGCCTAAACCTCAGAATCTACTGAAACTAGATAGTCTCAGAAATTTAAGAATAAAACACCAACTCATTATGTTTATAGTTCACAGTGAGTACATGTACCTCATGTATCAGCTACAGAAGAAAGGCTTTAAAAAGTATTTCCTGAGCATCTACTCTTATCTATCTGTATCCCTAACCCATTGCAAACTCTGAGGTAGAGTGTGCAGGACTGGAACAACTGCTGACCTCATGAATAGGATATGCTGGTGGGAGAAACAAGCACCAAACATGATCAAGTCCAGTGCACAGTAACTTGCCAGTGAGAAAAATGAAGCTAGGAGAGGAAGTGAGGAGGTGGTCAGAACACTGTAAAAGTTAATGCAAGAAAATAAAGAGCTAGTTGATGGAAACTGGATACAAATTCTGAGTCAGTGTCTTTTCAGTTATGCTTCACTTACTCAGCTGATGACAAATGTTTACCAAGTACTCACTGGGGATTTAGGACTAGGTAGTTATGGGATATATAATTTCCTCCTTGTCTCTAAGGAGACTCCTAGTTGCATTCCTTCAAGACAGATGTTTGTTCTTTTCTCAGTCCATGGTATATTAAATACTCTTCTCCAGTACCACAACTAAAAGGCATCGATTCTTCTTTGGTCTTTCTTATTCATTGTCCAGCTTTCAGATACATGAGAAACAATTGAAAATACCATGGCTTGCATCAGGGACATCTTAGTCTTTAAATTAACATTTTTGTTCTTTAGAACTTTGGAGAAGTCCTTGACAGCCAGTTTCCCCAGTACAGCACATCTTTTGATTTCTTAACTGCTGTTACCATGAGTGTTGATTGTTGATCCAAGTACAACAAAACTCTTTTCTGCCCAAAAGATTGGACAACTCCAGTCTTTCTTCATCTATCATGATGTTGCCCATTGGTCCAGTAGTGAAGATTTTTATCTTCTTGATGTTGAGATGTAATTGATATTGAAGCTGTACCCTTTCATCTTCTGTAGCAAGTGCTTCAGGTCTTCTTTATTTTCTGCAAGCAAGGCTGTATTATCTTCATAATGTAGAGTGTTGATTTTGACCCATAGGGCTTAGGCAAAAGGTCTTCAGGCTGGAAGTCTGACAGATACACACAGAGTCCCAGTGTATGTTGTCACTTTGTAACTTCAGCCCTTTCTTCCTATTGCAGCTTGTTGCTCAGTTTTAATTGGCTTTTGTGGCAGAGTGGTTGGTTGGGATCTTCATCTCCAGTTGGGAGCCACTGGGCTAATTTCTTTTTATGCTGCCATTCCTAAGTCTAATCTTAACTCCAACCCTCTGGCCCTTGATTGTACCTTCCTCTCCCCTTGCTGACTATCTAATATTGCTATAATCTACACTGCTATAATAAGAGATAACACAAATCAGTAGCTTTAACAATTTTGTTCTCTCAAAAGTTTAGAAGTACAGAAGTTTAAATTCAGGGTACTGGCTGTAGGACACTTGCTTCCTCAGTTGTTTGTGGAGGAAAGCTTTGTTTGGCCCAAAAAATGTTTCATCCCTGGTCTGTCTTGGTGACAGTGAGGTCCCCTGTTCTTTGCTTGTGGTTTGTGGGGGTTTTTTTAATCTTTTTGTAAGACAAAAAGTGATGTAAACCACTTTACCCCAGAAAACTCCCCTCTGTCTTTTTACAGGTGTTTGGTTTATCAGATCAGGGGATCATTATATAACTTCCACATTACATACACCTATTTGGGGTGTACACCAGGGATGTGTCCTGTCTCCATACCTTTTTAACCTTATGCAGAGCAGATTATCTGGGAGGCTGGGCTCGGTGAGGAGAATTGTGGCATCAGGATTGGTGGAAGATCTATTAACAATCTGCGTTATGGAGATGACACAACCCTGCTGGCTGAAACCGAGGAGGACCTCATGCACTTGCTGCAGAGGCTCAAGGACTGCAGCCTTCAGTATGGACTGAGGCTCAATATCAAGAAGACAAAGATTCTCATCACTGGGCCAACTGGTAGCATCAGGATGGATGGCAAAGAGATTGAGATTGTTCACAGCTTCAGTTTGCTTGGCTCCACGGTCAACACTCTTGGCACCAGCAGCCAGGAAATCAAAAAACATACTGCGATGGGAAAGTCTGCTGTTAATGACCTCTCTAAAGTACTCAAGAGCAGCGGTGTCTCTCTGGAGACTAAGGTGTGCCTGATACAGGCCATGGTCTTTGCAATCACTTGTTATGCATCAGAGAGTTGAACAATGACTTGTTGTTGTTGTTATGTGCCATCGAGTCACTTGCGACTCATAGCGACCCTATGTACAACAGCCCTAAACTCTGCTCTGTCCTGTGCCAATCGCACTGTCTCCGACACTCCCATCCCGATTATCCCAGTCACTGAATCAATCCACCTCATAGAGGGCCTTCCCCTCCTGCGCCGTCCCTCCACCCTCCCAAGCATGATGTCCCTCTCCAAGGACCAGTCTTTCCTCACATGTCCAAAGCATGTTAGACGGAGCCTCAGAATCCTTGCCTCCAAGGAGCCACCCGGTTTAACCCTTTCCAGGACGAATCTGTTTGTTTTCCTAGCAGTCCATGGTATTCTCAATACTCTTCTCCAGCACCACAGCTCAAGGCATCAATTCTCCTTCTATCCTCCTTGGTCATTGTCCAACTCTCTGATGCATCACAAGTGATTGCGAAGACCATGGCCTGTATCAAACGCACCTTAGTCTCCAGAGAGACAGCATTGCTCTTCAGTACTTTGGAGAGGTCCCTAACAGCAGACTTTCCCATGGCAATGCACCTTTTAATTTCCTGGCTACTGGTGCCAAGAGTGTTGACTGTGGAGCCAAGCAAACTAAAGCTGTAGACAATGACTAGGGAGGACAAAAGGAGAATTGATGCCTTTGAGCTGTGGTGCTGGAGAAGAGTATTGAATGTACCATGGACTGCCAAGAAAATAGATTCATCCTGGAGAGGGTTAAACCAGGCTAATCCTTGGAGGCAAGGATTCTGGGGCTTCGTCTGACATACTTTGGGCATGTTGCAAGGAGGAACAGGTCCTTGGAGAGGGACATCATGCTTGGGAGGGTGGAGGGATGGTGCAAGAGGGGAAGACCCTCTATGAGATAGATAGATTCAGTGACTGGGGTAATCGGGATGGGTGTGTCAGAGGCAGTGCAATTGGCACAGGATAGAGCAGGGTTTAGGGCTGTTGTACATGGGGTCACTATGAGTCGCAAACGACTCGACGGCACATAACAACAACAACAACATTTGGGGAAACATAATTCAGTCATGACACTGGCTTTCCTGATCACTGTGATTATCACAAAGTTGGTTTTTTTCCGTTCTTATGCTGCAATTCAAAGGCATGGAAATTCAGATCCACCACTTGTTCTGAGTGAGAAGGATGGATAGTCTCATCTCATGCGATTTACTCTTTCTGAAAGTGAATCAGTGAGGGCTCACTTCTGACTTGACGGCACATAACGTAATATCACATCACATCACAACATTTGTTTTTAAAATTTTTCACAAAGAGGCAGTTTACAAAAACCAGAGACCTTTCTAGACATCCTTGGAAGTCAGTTTGCTGTTAAACTGAGTCCTGGCAAAGCGTGTTGGCTTGTAGCAGTTGTGGGTCACACTGGCCACTCACATTACTGAGTCCCTTGGGCCACAGACTTGGGTTCTACTTTGCATGTCAACATGGCGCCAGGCTACCCCCTTGAGACCTGGTGTAGCAGTCCAGCAGACCTAGCCCGGCTGGACTCAGGGTTGCCCTATAATTCTGACCCTCCAGCAGCATGTCTGAAATGAGACTGACTCAGCAGGACCCTGGTCTCCATGGCCCTGTGAGCACTGGGTTCCAGCTCATTGTGGCACTAGTCCCCAGAGATGAGCAATATAGTCCATTCTGTGGGCAGGGCCTCTCCTTGCTGCTCCAAACAGAGTTGTTTCATCACTGATTCCTGGGATTACAGTGGAAGACAAGCAGACCTTTGAACTGGTTTGTTTAGTAGGACTCCTGCTGAGAATTTACCTTTCCCTTTAAATATCCTGAGTCAGAATCTTCATTTACACCTGGATCTGTACGAACACCTCTGTGATCTGAATTGGAAAGACAAATTCTCAGCAAGGGGTCAAGCCAGAATTAATTGGCTTTAAAGCCCTGTCTTCAAGCTCTCACTGGATTGAAACTTTTCTTTCTTTTCCTTTACTACATGAAAGTTCAAACCTCAGCACCTGCCTGTGTTGTCAGTTTCAGATAAAACTGAACCAGCAAAGTGAAACCTAGGGGTATCCCTGCGCACAGTAGTTCTTCAGTGGCATCTGCCCAGGGTCAGGACTGGGAAATGATGCATTTGTTTTGCTTTTTTCCCTTTCTTTTTAGTCCTTTTCTAGTTTCACAAATATTTAAGGATTAAAAGTGCTCAGTTCTCCACAGGCCCCTGAGGGACACTTAAGCAAGCACTGACACATTTCTACCCGCCTTCTTGCTCATTGGGATTGAGCACCGAGTGCATCTAGTCTCAGAAAGTACCTCTGAGGGCATTGTCAGGTCTGTGGCTATGCTGTCGATCCCACACAAGGCACCTGATACATACCGTTAACCACTAACTATGTTGGGTTCAGAATTGGGGCTTCAACCAGATTAAGGAGGAACCCTGGATGCTCCTGTCTGAGCACTTGTGTATTTGACTTTTATTCCTCTCACAGAAGCCTTTTGAAGACAAAAGTCATGGACCTTATCACATCCATGGCCATCTTGCCCTTACTCTTTGGCTGTGTTGGAGTGTTCAGCCTTTTCAAGGTACTGCAGCGAATGCACATGAAGGCCTACCTGCAGGACGCTGTTGTGGTCATCACAGGTGCCACGTCTGGGCTGGGCAGAGGTAAGTCCTGTGGTGGCCACTTTGGGTGGGGTGTCTATACATGATGTCCTGGCTCCAGTGGTAGCTGGAAGGACACATAGTGGAGCAGGCTGGAAGATAAGACTACCTGCAATATATCCTATGCTCTGTACAACTGGGAAAAAGCTACAGTTTAAGTGCTCTGTCCAGTGGACCTGACCTGTCTGTATCATTATTGGAAGACAAAGGGTTGATGATAGTGTCAAGGAGCATCATCCTGTCCAGATAACTATTGAAATGGAAATTTTTATGGGAGAGTTAAAATTTTCAGATTTGAGGAACTAATCAAACAATGCTTTTAACTCTGAAAGAGCCAGACAACATAAATATTCCTGGATCCAGGTGGCCTGACTTCAGTGAGTGCCATACATATCCTTTTCTTGGGCCAAGATCATACTATGACTGCTTCTGGGGCATGGCCTTTACTGGGTGAGACTTAGTGACTTCCTGCTAGGTCCTCAGTGAAGTTCCATTCCTGTTGTATAAAGGTGCACACTGAGACTCAGGCTTGGGCTCAGGTAGGAGCTCCCCCTCATGAGCTGCAAGCATGTCTTTCATTGTCCTTTATATGTTGTCGGCGCTGAGGGCAAACACAAGCATGTCTTATGGGACTCCTAAGCTCTGCCCACACATATACGCACACTCACACCTATCTAACTTTGCTCTGCCCCACAGAACACCAGCTGGGGTGCTGCCTCTTTGGGGGTAATCATACATGCTCCATAGGGTATGGAGCCAGGCTTCTCTTCCAAGAAGCCTTGGCATGAGTTGAAATATGACCTCAAGGTGAAGCTGATGCGTTTGCTTTTCATCTGTAGTCAGCTTTTCTCTCTCTCACTCTCATTGCTGTTGAGTTGGAAAAGACTCAGTGCTGACTTTCTAGCTAGCAGGTTTTCAGAGGCCGTAGATCGCATGCGAAGCAACTGTCTTATCCTTCTTCTGTGGAGCAGCTGGTGGATTCAAACTGCTCCTTACCACTAGGCTACCAGACCTTCCTGGGAGGAAATTGTAAAATGGCTGCTTAAGAAGAAGAAAAAAACCCAAAAAAGCACTTCCACAGTGATTTTTAATCTCTCAGCACAGCAGTAAGTGTCTATATATTTAACTGCCATCAGCCCTGAGGTAGGGATTGTTCATACCTGCATTTTAATTTTTTTTTTATTATTTTATTATTTTGTGTATGTGTACCGTCAAATCAGATCTGACTGGTACAGGAGGAGATTGTCCCTCCTTCCTCGGTGGTTTTGAACAGTGCGCCTCTGGGATTGCAGTACAGCTTCTTGCCACTAGGCCACCAGCGCTCCCCATAACTGCATTTTAGAGAAGAGGAACCTACTGCCCACTGACAACTGAACCTACTAACATTGAGTTGATTCCAGCTCATCTGCCCCTCCATCAGGTTTCCAAAGCCGTAAAACTTTATGAGAAGACACTGCCCTTCTTTCTCTCACAGAGCAGTTGAGGAATTAGAACCATTGACCTATGTGTTAGCCATACAACAGTTAACACGCTGCTACTTAGAGCTGCTTACAGAAGAGAAAGCAAGGTACAAGAGGTTCTATAATTTAACACAGCTCATAGAACCAGCAAAGGCTAGAAGTCGGTGTTGAACTCTGATTGCAGTAATGCTCTCCACACCGCTGACTGTGCTACTGATCAGGAACCACAGCTTCTAAGCCAAAGATCTGTGAGAATAAGGAACCAGGGACTCCCTGGCCAACTTCCTGGAGGCTGCAAGTAGTCCCACAGTCTTAGGAGATTTGTCACGCTGGGCTTCTTCTGATTACAGCCTTGCCAGGGTTTTGACCCAAGAGTTAGAGGGAACCAAGAAAGAGGCCCCATCCTTTCTGTCTGTGAGCCTAGAACTATCTTCTTTTACTGGAGAAACCAGACCAAGGGATGGATGAAGTGGAAGAAGGGCCATAGTAGCTGCATTCCTGTCCCTCCTGAGCTGGAATGTGGGACTCCTGCACTTAATTCCCAGACCACCTCAAATCCCTTCTGATGAATCCTGTTTACATGTTCCACTATGAGTTTACCTTGGATGGGGTGGTGGGAGTAGGTGGCACCCTCCACAATAACTCATTTAATTCCAAGATCATTTCCCTGCCCAGGCCCCTCCCCCAACCCAGCAGTGCCCAGCAAGCCTAAGCCCCCTAGGCTCCCTCCAGCCCTCAGGCACTCATATTCAGTTCCCTCTGCTGAGATCACTCTCTTGGGAGGACCACCCTCTCACTCCTCAACTCTCACTCATTCCTCAAGGCTCTTTCGGAAAGTCTTTTTCCTTTTCTCAGTCCAGTGCTAGAGGCTTCCCTACAATACTCATCAGATGTGCCTATGACTTTGGGTGATCTGGGGTTACTAGAACCAAGGACACTATCTGCCTGTCAGCTTACTAGTGGGAGTTAGGATAATGTTAACAGCATTGTCAGGGTCAAACAAGGTCAGCACGTGATGCCACACACAGATTATTAAGTTTGCTTGCCCGACCTTCTCTTGTCCCTTATAATGGCCTTCAGTTGTACCATACATGGAAAAGGCATGCATTTCTTCAACAGTCCTTTTCTCTTTCTTTAGAGTGTGCCAAAGTCTTCCACACTGCAGGTGCTAAGCTGGTGCTCTGTGGCCGAAACAGGGAGGTCCTAGAAGAACTCACCAGAGACCTTGCCAGTCCTTATGCCACCAAGGTGAGTTGTGCTGTCCACAGGGGTCAGTGAGTCATTCCCCAGTAATTTGACTAGCTGTAACCTGTACCAACCACCATGGGAGAGGCCACACCTCAGACCCTGGGCCTCATTGCCTCAGGTGTCCTGGATCCTCTTTGTCACAACTGTGTCTGGTCCTGACTTCACCACTTACTGGCAGAGGGTAGTCCCTCTGTTTCCTGACTTACCCGCTTCATCTAACTCACTGCTCAGTGATTCATTTTTCTCATACCTGTCCTCCTTTATAACTCTTAAGTTCGAGAGTCTGTCCTCTCAGCTGTTAGCATTTGGAGAACAACTAGCTGTTCCTTTGCACTGTGTCCACAGTGCTTGACACATCAGAGATGTGTGAAAACTGTTCTTATGAACTCATCTGAGTGGAACTGCTTGTTCTAAGAAGGCCTTTACCTCTCAGCAGGGCACTGTTGGATGTAAGAATATGCTAATCCCATGCTTCTGCATCTTTGTTATGTTAGTCAGTGTGTATCTTACGCTGTGGGACTCAATCTGGTAGCGAAGCTAAGGAGCCTTGGTTATAAACTGCTGGGATATTTTCCACCAGAGGAAAGGTGAATGAATCAGGCATAAGCACTGCTGGCAGCACCTAGTAGCCATTCCCAGGACCCCTGTCACTCAGAAGGTGTCCTCCTGTGATTAACCAGGTGCAGACGTATAAGCCCTATGTGGTGGCCTTTGACCTAACAAACCCTGGTGCCATTGTTGGGGCAGCAGCAGAGATCTTGCAGTGCTATGGCCATGTAGACATACTGGTCAACAATGCTGGGATCAGCTACCGCGGTGCCATCACAAACACCAAACTGGACGTGGACAAGAGAGTGATGGAAACAAACTACTTTGGCCCTGTGGCTCTAACCAAAGGTAATTATCTTGGGTTAAAAAACTAAAACAAATCAGACAGCCCTGGACGTGTGATCATCTTTTTACTTGGGCTCATGCCAGCAGAACATGGCCATCTCTGTATTCAAAGCCCAGGGTTGGACATTGTCATAACAGCTGGGAGTGCTTGCTTTACTGGGTGTTTAGCTGCATTTATGTTTGCTTGATAGCTTCAAAACAAGACTTGTCCTCGGTGACAGTGTTAGCTGCACTGTTGCCTCCATGCACCCCTCTCCTAGTTTCTTAGACAATCTATGTAGGGGGGTATTCATGTCTAGTGTAGACTGCAGTCAGGAGAGAGGCCTTCCACAGGACCAGGACTGAGCTGACATATAGAGGGACAGGCCATCAGCAGGCTGTCAGGCTATCATCTCCCTTCCTGCTCCTTTCCTCCACCCCGTTTCCTGTGTAGAATGTGGGAAGATAACACCTAAGAGTTCCAGTGGATCATAATTCTCCCTCCTGAAAGCTTTGTAGTGCTCACCTTCCTCCTTCCTTGCTCAGTCTCTTAGTGTCAGGAATTGCTAAAGCCGAGACATTTTTTCCTTAGCACTTCTGCCTTCAATGATTGAGAGGAGACGAGGCCACATCGTTGCCATCAGCAGCATCCAGGGCAAAATCAGCATTCCTTTTAGATCAGCCTGTGAGTACTTCTCTTTCCCCTTAATTTTTTTTTCCACCTGATTATAAAACTCATACATGTTTGCCATGCAACATTGAAAAGTTTCAGAAATAACACCATACAAAATGTAGAGCAAGATAACTGGGTGTAATCTCAGCTCCACTCCTTGTCATGTATAGTTCTAGGCCACTGTAAAGTAGTATGGTGTTTCAGCTATCTAATGCTGCTGCAACGGAAACCATAGGTAGATGGCTTAACAAATAGATTTTAGGAAGAACTTGAAGTCCAAATTCATGTGCCACCTCTCTGAAAGATCATTGTCAATTATGGAGGAAGTATGTGCAGTAGGATCAGGCATTGAGCAGTATAAAAGTATCAGTCACTATTTGTGTTAATAAAAATTATCATCACCATCTCATTATTTACCACTCTGGGGCTGGTGCTTTGTTTTTCTACGTAGAGTAAGACAAAAGGATCTCTGGCAGTGTGGTTCAAAGGATCTAAATTGCTAACAAAGTGGTGTGGTCCATAGGGATTAGGAAATGGCACTGCTAACACAAGGTGGTGTGCTTTGTAGGGAGTGGGAAGGCACTGCTAACACAAGGTGGTATGCTCCATAGGGAGCAGAGAGCAGCCACTACTAACCTAAGGAACCTCTCTCCTGTTTAAATCCACCAACTGCTATGTGGGAGAATTTTGGACACTCTTTTCCTTTGCAGTGTATAGCCTCAGAAAATCCATTGGAGGATTAGCCATGAGTTAGTTCTGACTCAACAACAATGAGTTTGAGTTTTGGGGGTTTTTTTCCAAGTAGTAGAACAGCATGAGATGTTCCCTGGGAAGGACAGCTGGTGTTAAAATTGAGACAAGTACAAGTAGGGGCACACAGGGATGGCCAACCTCTAGGAATTGCTTTGGTGCTGTTGACTCATCCTGTTGTAGAGTTAGTGTGGTTCAGATGTCACAATCTCCATGCCCATCCCATTGTCTTTACATACAAAATCAGTTAAGGTTTCGAGCTATTGTGCAGAGATAGAGTCAGCTCACTGGCACCCAACAAGAAGGATATTTTTTTGTTCCATTTTCTGAAACACACACCTGAAACCCAGTCACATCCACGTCTCCAAAACTCAGCTTTATTGCCATTGAGTTCATCCTTCCAGCCTCAAGCATCTCAGGGACCAAAGCTGCCTCTGCACTCTGAAACCAGTCCAGTCCCACTCTATAGTATTAACTATTGTCTGACCAGTAAATGCAACATTACTCAGTATTGATCCAGCTCTGCTTTGTAATTGTAGCTGGAGGACTTGGGGGGAGACCTGCTTGCACTGCGGTTTGGGCATTGAAAAGCTGATGGTTCAAGGCACAATCACTGCACAGGAGAAAGATGTGGTACTCTGCTTTTGCAAAGATTTTTAGCCTTGGAAAGCCCATAGGGCAACTCTTCAGTGTCTTACAGAGTCACTATCACAATCAACTTCATAGCAGTGGGTTTGATTTATGGTTTTTGGGTGGTAGGAGGTGGCACAACTTCCCTCAGACTCCTTACTTACATTACTTAGATAAAATGAGACTCAGGCATTGTAGCTGCCTCGGTAGGTGCTCTGATGATGAATCAGAGCAAATAGAAGTCCTTTGAAGACTGTAGTACATATGGCCTAGTATGTCTAAATGACTGTCCTTCAGCTCAGAAAGAAGAACTAGCACAATACTGCATAAGGTACTCACAGTTCAGGGAGAAAAGGTGGTCATATATGTAATCATAAAGAATAAAGCAAATGAGGTGAAGTGCTAAAAATAAGTCTAAGTCATATAGTGTCTCAGTACTTTCATATTTTGGCAATTTTCAAATTATTCCCATTCTCCACTTTAACTTAACCCCCTTACCTCTACTCTAGTTTCCTCTGGCTGAAGAGACACTAGTGCTGCCTGGAGGATAGACATTCTCCTCACTGGAGAGGGGTATAATGTTCATATGCTGATCGTAGGACAGGAAGTGACCCATGGAGTGAGTGTAGCTGCAATTGGTTTTTACAGCCTGGCTGAGGGTCCATGGCCTGAGATGCCTGGAGACACCTGCAAGAGGACACTCTTCTCTGTGCTTAGGCCTGGACTGTAACCCTAGAATTATGGCCCATAAGAGCAAATCTTTCCACCCCTCAAACTAGCCAGAGCCAGTGTGACAACCTAACGGCTTTGCTTCAGAAAGTCTCTGCAGCAAGTTTAGGGTCCTAGTGGTGCCTGACAACTTCTCAGACACGTCTTTGGCTTTTCCCTGCCCATTTTCCTTCTTCATAGCCAAAGTGTTTGGGGCTCTATTGAGGGTGACCTCTGTTGAGGAAGGAGGACCTCTAGTTTCAGTTAATATGCCTGTTTTGTTTTCTCTGGTGGGATATTGTGTAGAGATTGGAAGCCTCTATGCTTTGGTGAAGACTGCATTCCATTCTCTGGCCTACATCCTGGGACACAGGTCAAAATGAATGGGTTCTTAACTTAGGGTATCATTTGGGTGACAACTGAGAAACTGAACCAGAAGGGCCCACATTGCTGCAGCACTTTTAAAAAAGATCTGTGGAGCCGGATGGGAAGCTGCTTGTGTAAATGGCCAGGAAATGCCACATATAACAAATAAAAACTTCTGTATCAGATCACTTGTATCACTCACTCATTGACTCTAAACCGGCTCATAGCTGACCCTCCAGCAGGTTTCAGAGGCTGTAATTCACACAGGCAACTACCTTCCTTTCTTCCACAGAGAGGTTGATGGATTTGAACCAAGTGCCTTCGAGTTAGCAATACAGCTTACCTACTAGGCCACCAGAGCTCCCTAGATGTATGTATATTGTTGTTATTAGATGCCATCGAGTTAAGTACTACCCACAATGACCCTATGAACAACAGATCTGAACCCTGTCCTATCCTGTGCCATCCTGACACTTCCTGACACACTGGAGCCCATTGTGGCAGTCACTGTGTCAATCCACCTGATTGAGGGTCTTCCTCTCCTTTGCGGAGCCTCTGCATTTCCAAGCATGATGTCCCTCTCCAGTGAACAGCCTCTCCTAGCAACATGCCTAGAAGTATGTGAAGTGAACCTTTATCATCTTTGCCACCAGAGAGCACTCTGGCTGCACCGTCTCCAAAACATACATGTTTGTTCTTTTAGCAGTCCATAGGATGTTCAGTACTCTTATCTAACACCACCTCAAAGGCATCAATTCTTCTTCTGTCATTCTTATTCACTGTCCAGCTCTCAGATGCATAGCAAGTGATCAGAAAGACCATGGCCTGAGATAGATGCACCTTAGTCCTCAAATTGACATCATTGCTCCTCAGTAATTTGGAGAAGTTCCCTGACTGCAGAGTTTTCCAGTGAAATACATCTCCTGTTTTCCTGACTGCTGGTACCAGGGAGGTTGATTGTGGATCCAAGATGAAGTTGTTGACAGTTTCAATCTTCATCTATCATGATGTTGCCTAGAGAACCAGTGGTAAGAATTTTTGTTTTCTTGACACTGAGATGCAATCCAAACTGATCTTCTGCAGCAATTGCTTCAAGTCCTCCTCATTTTCAGTAAGCAAGATTGTGTAATCTGCATAATGCAGGTTATTGATGAGTCTTCCTTTGATCTTGATGCCACATTCTTCTTTAGTCCAGCTTCTTGAATAATTTGCACTACATATTGAATAGATATGGAGAGAAAATAGAACCTCAGCAGCACATAACAGCAGCAGCAAGTGTTCCCTTGCTCTGTTCACCCAGCAGCCTCTTGGTCTAGGTATAGATTTGTGCTCCCATGAGCACAATTAAGTGTTCTGGAATTCTCATTCCTCTCATATTAGCCATAACTTATTATGGTCCACACAGCCAAATGCCTTTGCATAGTCAAAACATAAATAGACATTATAGTGTTCTTTACTTTTAGCCAGGATTCATCTGACATTAGCAGTGATACCCCTGGTATCTAAATCCTGCTTGAACTTCTGGTAGTTCCCTATGTATGTACTTTTCCAGCAACTTTTTAATGATCTTTCAGCAGTATTTTGCTTGCAATGATACTGTTCAAGAGTTTCCACATTTTGTTGGACCACCATTCTTTGGAATGGGAATAAATATTGACCTCTTCCAGTGTATTTGCCAGACATCCGTCCTCCAAATTTCCTGGTATGGACTGATGAGTGCACCCAGGGCTACATCTGTTAAATTGAAACAAGTCAGTGATAGCCTATTGATTCCTGGGGCCTTATTTTTTTGCCAGTACCTTCAATATAGCTTCAGCTTCCTCCTTCGTTACCACTGGCTCCCGTCCATATGATAATTCCTGAAATTTCTCAGTTCTTTCTGGTACAGTGATTCTGTGTATTCTTTCTATCTTCTTTTGATGCTTCCTGGATCATTCAACATATTGCCCATAGCATCTTTCAATATTGCAACTCAAGGCTTCAATTTATTTCTCAGTTCTCTGAGCTTGAGAAATGCAGAGTGAGTTCTTCCCCTTTTATTCTTTCAGTGCATTCCATTATAATACTTTGCTTTATCTTCTCGAGCTGCCCTTTGAAATCTTTTCAGCTCTTTTACTTGATCTGTTTTCCTTTTATTTTGGCTTCTCAATACTCTACTGCAATTTTCAGAGTCTCTTCTGACATCCATTTTGGGTTTTTCTTTCTCCTCTGTCTGTAATGACCTTTTGCTTTCTTCCTGAATAATATCTTTGATGTCATCCTCCTGCTCATCTGGTCTTCCATCATTGGTGTTCAGTATGTCAGACTTATTTTTAAGATGATTCTGAAATTCAGGTGGAATAGGTTTAAGATCATATTTTGGTTCTTGTGAACTTGTTTTAATTTTCTTTGGCCTTAATTTGAACTTGCACATGAGTAATTGATGGTTTGACCCACAGTCCACCCCAGCTGAGTTTTGACTGATATTGAGCTTCTCCAGTGATTCCTTCCACAGATGTAGTCAGTCTGATTCCTATGCAGTCCATCATGTGAGGTCTATGTGTAAAGTCACCATGTATGTTTTTTTTAAAAAAGGTATTTGCAATTAATAAATCATTGAACATAAAAAATTCAATCATTCTATTTCCAGCCTCATTTCTGTCCCCAAGTCCATACTTTCTGACTACTATTCCTTCTTCATTGTTTCCAACTTTTGCATTCCAGTCACCAGTTAAGAAATATGAAGCCTGATTTGCTTTTAGATGTACAACACTAAATTGGCTGTTGTTGTATTTGGGGAATACATTGTTCTAATTAGTACAATACTTGTCTTTCAGTTTGATGCACAGAGAGAACTTTTGGGTTGCTGTGATGATGAACACTATGCCTCTTGTGTGTCAGATACCACAAGGGTCACATGGTGGACAGATTTTAATAGAGCTTCCAGATGAAGACAGACTAGGAAGCAGGATTGACCAGTCACTTTTTAAATAGCAGGCCTCTGAAAACCCTATGAACAGTAGAAGAACATGGATAGTTACAGCCTTAGAGGTAGAGCCCAGATTGGAAGTCAATCAAAATGAAGAAAAACGTCCTTTAATAATTGGAATATGCAATGTACAAAACATCAGTGTTGGAAAACTAGAGGTTGTGAAAAATTAAATGGGACACGTGAACATCGGCATTCTAGGCATTAGTGATATGAGATTGTCTGATTCAAAGAGGTCAGGCTAGTCAATCATGAGGTATACTATGTTCATGTTGGGAATGAAAAACAGAGGAAGAATGGTGTTGAGTGTTGCATTTATTTATAGTCAAAAAGACAATTTCAAGTTCTATCCTGAAGTACAACATTGTGATAGTATCCATATGCATACAGAGACCTGCTAATATGACTTACTCAAATATACACTCCTTATAGGTAAAGCCAGAGGAGGAAATTGAAAATTTTTACCAATTTTGCATTTTGAAATTGACCAAACATGCAGTCAAAATGTGTTTATGATAATTGGTGACTGGAATTCAAAGATGTATATATGGAAAACACAAAACTCAAACTCATTGCTGTCAAGTCAAGCCGACCTTCAAGCAGGTTTTCAGAGGCTGTAAGTTACGCAGGGGATTGCTCATCTTACGTCTTTGTATATATCGTGATTGTTGTGTGATGTCAAGCTGGAACCAATGTCCAGCTTTCCAGTGGGTTTTCAGAGGCAGTAAATCACATAGGAAATTGCCCATCTTTATCCCATGGAGCAGCTGGTGGATTCTAACTGTGTGCCTTTGGGATTGCAGTGCAGGTTCTTACCACTAGGCCATCTGAACTCCCTATATATGTATATTGTTGTTAGTGGGTACCAGTGAGTCAGAAGTGACTCATAGCTGACCCTCCAGCAGTTTTGCAGAGGAAGTAAATAGTATGGGAGGAGTTTGCACATCATTTTTCTACAGAGCAACTAGTGTATTTGAACTCATGCATGCCTTTGGGATTGCAGTGCAACTAACTTCTTACCACTAGGCCACCAGAGCTCCCAGTGTCTGTCTGTATGTTGGTAAGTGCTGTGAAGTCAATGAGTATACTTATACTCAACAATAGCTCTGAATCTTGCCCTGTCCTGAGTCAACCTCTCTGCCTCTGACACACGTGCTCCCATTGCAACAGTTACTGTGTCAGTCCACCCAGTGTCTTTCTTCCTCTCCTCTGCTGACCCTTCAAGCATGATGTCCTTCTCCAATGACTGGCATCTCCTGGCAACATGCCCCAAATATGTGAGACTGAGTTTCAAAATCCTTGCCTCCAAGGAGCAACCTAGTTTTAACCTCTCCACGATAGATTTGTTTGTTCTATCGGCAGTCCATGGTATGTTTAATACTTTTCTCCAGCACAACAGTTAAAATGTGTGGATTCTTCTTCTGTCATCCTTAGTTATTGTCAAGTTCTCTGATGCATAGTAAGCAAAGGAGAAGACCATGGCCTGGATCAGGTGCACTTTAGACTCTAGACTGACATCATTGCTCTTTAGCACTCTAGAGAGGTCCCGGAGTTTAAAGAGGCTGTGGCACTAGGGATATCATTGCCAACGTCAGATGGATCCTGGCTGAAATTAGAGACTACCAGAAAGCTATCTATTAGTGTTTAATTGACTTTGCAAAGACATTTGACTGTGTGGATCACAACAAGTTGTGGCTAACATTGAGAAGAATGGGAATCCCAGAACACTTGATTGTGCTCATACAAAACCTACACTTAGACCAGGAAGTTGTCATATAAATAAGAGCCAGGGAACACTGCATGGTTCAAAATCAAGAAAGGACTGCATCAGGAATATGTCCTTTCTCCATACCTTTTCAATCTATATGTATAACACTGGGGAGGCTGGACTGTATGAAAAGAATGTGGCATCAGGTTTGGAAGAAGACTTACCAACAACCTTTCCTATGCAGATGACAGCCTTGTTCACCAAAACTGAGGAGGACTTGAAGTGTTTGCTGTAGAAGGTCAAGGACTGCAGCCTTCAGTATGGATTGCATCTCAACATCAAGCAAACAGAAATTCTTACCTGGTGTCACCTGCAGCATCATGGTAGATGGAGAAAAGACTTGGTACCAGCTGTCAGGAAATCAGAAGAGAAATTGGCTTCCGAAAGTCTTCTGTTAGGGACCTCTCCAGAGTACTGAAGAGCAACAGTGTCCGTGTATGTATGTTGTTCTTACTGATTGCTGTTGAGTTGAGCATGACTCATAGCAACCCTATGAACAAAAGACTTGAACTCGGTTCTGTAACTATTGTCATTTGTCTAAATTCATAGAGTTTCCAGAGGCATGTTGTTTAGGAAGAGGATGCCACCCCGGCTTCCAAACTTGTCTTAATCTGGGAACTCCACCAAACACTATCCACCATGAGTAACCATTTGACACACCAATGGCACAAGGTTCAGCATCACAGCAACCCCAAGTTACCTCAGTACAGCAATTTGAGAGAACAGTTAGAAGAATGTTCTTCCAAAATACAATAACCCAACTGACTTTTAAATACAAAGGTCCTCCACCAGGTTCTGTTGGCTCTAAACAAGAGGCTTAAATTAAAAAACAAAACAAAATGCACAAAACCAAATAACCCATACCTGATCCTCAACCAAAATAATAGAACCACCTTTCAGAATCCAACCACTTCACTCATCAGTCTCCAAACTGGAGACATAGGGCCTGACCTTAAATATACAGGCCCTCCTCCAGGTCCTGTTGACTCTAAAACAAGAGGCTAAAATAATAAACTAAACAGTCCACACCCAACCCACAGCCAAAACAAGCCTACCTTTCAGAATCCAGTGGCTTCACACATCAGCCTTAGTGTTTGTATGCTGTTATATGTCATTGAGTTGCTTGTGACTCACAGCGACCCTGTGTATATATAAAAGCCCTGAAACCAGCTCTATCCTGTGCCAACTTCATGTCTCTGACACACCTACTCTCATTACCCCCGTCACTGAATCAATCCATCTCATTGACGGTCTTCCTCTGTCTTTCCACCCTTCCAAGCATAATGTCCCTCTCTAAGGACCTGGTCCCTCCTTGCAAAATGCCCAGAGTATGTCAGACTAAGCCTCAGAATCCTTGCCTCCAAGGAGCAGCCTGGTTTCATCCTCTGTAGGATGAATCTGTTCTTTTGGCAGTCCATGGTATATTCAACACTCTTCTCCAACACCACAGCTCAAACGCATCAATCCTCTTTCTGTCACCCCTAGTCATCAGCTCTCTGATACGTAGCAAATAATTGTGAAAACTGTGGTCTGGTCAGGCGTGTCTTAGTCTCCAGACTGATGTCGTTGCTCTTCAGTACCCTGGGGAGGTCCTTGATAGTCTCCTTTCCCAATGCAGTTCGTCTTTTGATTTCCTGGTTGCTGGTACCTAGTGTTGATTGTGGAGCCAAGCAAATTAAAGCTGTTAACAATCTCAATCTCTATCATCATGCTGCCAATATAAAAAAACAAGGGGTGGCGAGCTCTGGTGGCCTAGTGGCAAGAAGCTGCACTGCAATCCCAGAGATGTGAGGTTCAAATCCACCAGATGCTCTGCTGAAGAAGGAGGGACAATCTTCTCCTGTACAAGTCAGATCTGATTTGACGGTACACACATTTCAAAAAATAAATAAATAAAATTTTTTTAAAAACCCAAACAAGGGGTGAGAAATAATTGTTACCTCTATGGAGTGGGACTGAAAGCTTTTATTCTCTTTATCTTCTGAGCTATTTGAATGTTTACCCAAACCAAGCAGTGGGGGGAGATATCCCAATTGACATTAAGTCAAGTCTGAACGGCTCCAGGGAGTGGTCTTGGCTGTAATCTTCAGAGGCCTTTTGGGCAGGTTTGAATTGACATGTTTTGGATTGTAGCTTGGTCACAAATACTTGTACAACCCTGAGAATTGCTTTCCCAATAGACATTGATTTTTGTTGTTGTTGACTTGGATCTCCAAATACTGTCACATGGATTCCCAGATTATGTGCAATTACCACATGTGCCTTATTATTGTGTGTGTATAGATACTCTATTTACTTTTTTAACCCCCTGAATGAGAGAAATATAAACAGTGCCATTATCCCAAGTAGACAGTAAACGATGATATACTGCTCTGATGTCAGAGGAAAAAGAGGAATGGGGTATGTGGGCTCCAGAGCTCTCACACTCACCTGCCTCTCTTGGCCATACTGCCTTGTAGATGCGGCCTCCAAGCATGCAACCCAGGCATTCTTCGACTGTTTGCGTGCTGAGATGAAGCAGCATGGGATTGAAGTGACTGTGATCAGCCCAGGGTACATCCGCACCAACCTCTCCCTGAATGCCATCACTGCTGACGGCTCCAGATATGGAGGTAAAGCCTCTTCCTGCACAAACTTACCCACGAACCTAAGTAGGTCTCTAGTCCTGTTTATCTAGGTGCTGGTTTTAGAAATGAATTGAGTACCTTTCCCTTTCACACCATCAGCCATCCTTAGTACAAGCATCATTTCTCCATTTCAGGAATAGAAAATAAAGTCTTTAGGCAAAAACTATCTTCAAAACTGCCTGCTACCCCACCCTCAAGATTCTTTGGTCAAGGAGTATGTGTATCATTGTTATCAAGTGGATTATCTTCAGAGGAGGAGGGTTCTTTCTTTGCCTGAAAAGTTGTCTACCTTGTTTAAGAAATGCCCACTTCAGAGCATGCAGCAGATGCCCAATTTCTGGGGGAAAGCTGGGCAAAGCCTCAGAGAGCCACTGCCTTGACTTCAGAATGGACCTTAGCTGACCTGCAGACACCATTTAGGCTACCAAGCCTGACATGCAGGCCCAGCAGAGACAAGGAGGCTCTTGCCACTCAGAATTGACACCTGCAGGGCAGCATCTTGAAGCTGGTTCTACACTATGCTGTGTTGCTTCACCAAGACGCCTTAGCAGGCTCACATTAGAAACCTAGAAAGCTTCACAAAAACTTACACTGAAGATGCTTTTTAAAGAGATCCTTCTAGCGACATGAAAAATAAGCAAAAATCAGAAACCCACTATTCTGTTAACTGTTGACTTTAGGTACTAGCACAACTTGAGAACTATTTAAAGTGTCCTGCTCTGATTTCTTCAGTTAGAAAGGAGCATCAGTTGCTGTTAACCTACTGCTTCCCAAATGCGCCTCAGCTGTTTTGTTAAAACTTAAAATATTACTCTTCCTTACTCTTTAAACAGTTGAGGCATGGCATTGGAACTGAGACAGCTGTCTGTTCTTTGTCGACTCTGACCCAACCCTTTGTACAACAGCACCAAACCCTGCTCAATGCTGTGCTATCCTCACAGTCTCTGCTTACTTAAGCTTTCTATTGTAGTCATTGTCAGTCCATCTCATTGAAAGTTTTCCTCTCTTTGAACTTCTGTTTTTCCAAGGGTGACCCCTCCTGACAACATACCTAAAGTACGTGGGATGAAATCTCACAATCTTTGCTTCTAAAGAGCACTCTAGCAACATTTCTTCCAATATAAATTTGTACATTCTTTTGGTAGTCCAAAACATATTCCTATCTTCATCAGTATCACAATTCAAATTATTCTTCCTTTTCATTGAGATTTTAATGAAAGTTTATAGAGAACCTGGATTTCCACTCATTCATTGTTGCACATTTTCCTCCCTGTCCCCCCTCCCAGTTCACTTTTTTCTTTGGAAAAAATTGTTATATAGTCATCACCCCCCTCCCCCCAGTCCAGTTTACTATGCAGCTCTTATTCTGGGCTCTTACCATGCCAATAATACCTAATTATATCTTTTATACAGTTCTCTCCCTCTTCTGTTTCAATGCTGTGTACATTATCCCTTCTTTTCTTAGTTTCTCTCAACCCCCATGTCCGTCCTTTTATAACAGTGGCATTATGCAGTATTTGTCTTTTTGTGACTGAGAAATTTCACTTAGCATAATGTCCTCCACGATCACATATTTTGTATAATATTTCATGAGTTCTTTGTTTTTCAGTGCTGCATAATACTCCATAGTGTGAATATACCACAGCTTCTCTATCCATTCGTTTGTTGATGGGTACTTGGGTTGTTTCCAACTCTTTGCTATTGTGAACATAGCAGTTATGGTTTCTTTAGGGCATATTCCCAGTAGTGGAATTGCTCGGTCAAATGATGTTTCTATTTGTAACTTTTTGAGAAAGCACCATACTGCCTTCCAAAGTGGTTGCACCATTTTATACTCCCATCAACAGTGAATAAGGGTTCCAGTTTCTCCACAACATTTGTTGTTTGCTTATTCTTCCCTTTTACATGCATATGAAGCAATTGAAAATTCCTGGGTCAGGCACACCTTAGTTTTAAACTGACATCCTTGACTTTTTTAGCACTTCAAAGAGATTGATGATGTTGTTGTTGAGCATGACTAATAGTGACCCTATGAACAAAAGGCCTGAAGCCCATCTACCAACTGTCAACATTTATCAAAGTTCATAGTTTCCGGAGGCATGCTGTTTAGGAAGTAGATGTCACTTCTGCTTCCAAACCTGTCATAGGATGTTATTGGTTGAGTCACCTGTGATGTGTAGCTACCCTATGTACAGCTTTGAACCCTTTCCGATCCTGAGCCAGTCTAATTCTGACATACCAACCGCCATCACCCCAGTTACTTTATCAATCCATGTCATCTGGGATCTCCCTCTCCTGTGCTGTCCGTCCACCCTTCCGAGCATGATGGCCTTCTCCAAGAACTGATCTCTCCTGGCCACATGCCCAAAGATTGATAACAGATATTTTATTCCTTGATTGCTGTTTCCTTGGGTGTTGTGAATCCAAATAGGATTTCATTAACTGACAACTTCAAGCCTTTCATTTATCTTGATGTTGCCCATTGGCCCAGTGGTGAGCACTTTTGTTTTCTTGATGTTGTAATCCATATTAAAAGCTATAGCCCTTGATCTTCTTCAGCAAGTGCTTCAAGTCTTCACTCTCTAAAGGCAGAGTTGTCATATACATATGCAGTTTGGTGAGTCTTCCTCCAATTCTGATGCTACATTTTTTTCTAGTCCAGCATCTGGAATTATTTACCCAGCATTCAGATTGAATAGGTGTGGAGAAAATTACATCCCTGAGCACACTTCTGATTTTAAACCATGTGGTAGTAATCTCCTTGTTCTGTTTTACAACTGCTACTTGGTTCATGTATAGCTTCCTCTCATTGAGCATTCTTCCCAATGTCAGCCATAATTTATCATGATTCATGCAGTCAAATGTCACTGCATCATCAATAAAGCACAAGTAAACATCAGCCAAGTCGTCTGACATCAGCAGTAATAGCCCATTTCTGGGCAGACCTAAAGTCAAAATCTTAGGACATCCATTAGTGAGTGATCTTCCACTGTGGCAAAGTTTTCCAAAAACTGGGACTCCCTCTGGACTAGCTTTCCCCTTCGTCTTAAAAATGGGTTCCCCAGTTTTAATGTGTTGAGCTGAGGACGGAGCTGGGGAGCACTGTTGTTGTGTACTGTTGAGTCAGAACCAACTCATAGATGACCCTCCTGCGGGTTTTCAGAGGCAGCAAATTGCACACGAGGAAATAACTCATCCTTCTCCTGAGGAGCAGCTGGTGGCTTTGAACCACCTTCAGGAGTGCAACACAACTTCTTACCACTAAGCCACCAAAAGTTACTATGTATTTCCCTTCTAGTTCCTGCTGTTAGGCATCCCCTTGCTAGGAGAGCTGGATTTGCCAGCATGTCTACAGGTGGGCTGTATAGAGCTGAACTTGAGAGCTATCTGCCTGTGCTGCACATGCAGGCTACACTAGCCAGTTAGCTGGTTTCTCAGGAAAGGAATCTATTATCTTGTACCTGGGAAAGTAATTTTTCTCCCATAGAATCCCGACACAGAGATCACTGTGGGCATTCTGTCCCTAGGGTGCCAACTGCATCATCTCGGCTTTTCTCACCCTCCAGCCTAAGGGATGTGCTGCTTCTGGTCTCTAGTGACAGTGTCCATAGCCGAAGTGACCTACTAACCCACTGTAGAGCCAAGCTTTGAATATAACCCTGTTAGCTATAGACCCAACCAACATAGCCCCCCAATGGTACCAAGAAAGAAACCAGAACATGAGGGGTTTTCTGAAACACCTCCCTCAATCCCCACTTTCTCAGTGAGCTGCATTTCCACAGGGTAAGAAATAACCAAGCTCTGTCTGCCTTCCAGTGAACTTGGAGCAGTGGTATGGAGGGCTTTTGGTAGACCTGCCAGATTCACATTTCTTTTGCTCTCTTCACATTTTAGTTATGGACAAGACCACAGCCCAGGGCCAGAGCCCCACAGAGGTCGCCCAAGATGTCCTCACTGCTGTGGGAAAAAAGAAGAAAGATGTGATCCTAGCTGACTTGATGCCTTTATTGGCCATTTACCTTCGAACTCTTGCTCCTGGATTCTTTTTCACCTTCATGGCTTTTAGAGCCCGAAAAGAACAGAAATACAAGGACTCCTAATCCTGGTCAGAGCTGGGGTACAGAGGTGTACACTTTAAGATTTGCTTCTGGGTGAGAAAAATGGGCAACCATGGCTGCAGACTACTTTACTGGCAGAGAAAAGGAACCAAAGATGACAACAGGCTTTTCCCAGGGGCAAGAAAATGAGTGAAGGGAAAGGCAGTTGGGAAAGGGGCAGTATCTCTAAAGCGAGCAAAGTATCCCTAAAGAAAGGGAAGACACAGGTATTAATGGATTAATGGAAATCAGGATGACGAGGAAGTAGGAAAAGTACAACTAACATTTTGGTTATTGACATTAGTATTTCACAGCATTTAAATATGTATAAAAAGGTTAAATAAAAAAAATAATTTTTATAAAGCTTCACTGAAATCATAATTTAAAAAACAAAACTTCTGAAAATATGAAATGAGAGGAGTGTCAGGAACCAGGCCTGTCCCTCCTTTAAGGTCTAGCCTCAGCAGTTCTTAAGATTATTTGATTCTCAATGGTAGCACCTGACCAAGCCACTCTCACCTTTGTTAAAAACACTTAGTTTACCAGGACATGAAGGAAGAAAGCTGCAGTTTTAAGAAACTGTTATTATCCTTTCTCAGGTCTTTTAATCCCATCAGTGTTGACCAGGATCAATCTGGCTGCCCTGTATACTCAAGCCTGTAGCATCCTGTACACCTTTGCTGTATCCCCAGGACACTGGTTGAAATGGCTCTGCAAATACCAGTTCCTACTAGTTTGTTAGCTGGTATCTGAGCCAAAGAGTGACAACTTTCCCCTTTTCAAGACGAAAAACATGTGTTTGAAGTTCAGTAGCTGTGTGCCATCGAATCAGAAGCGACTCATAGCTGAATCCCCAGCACGTGTTCAGAGGCAGTTCATTGCACAGGGGATTGCCCAGCCTTCTTTTGCTGAGCAGCTGGTAGATCCGAGTTGCATGCCTTTGTAAGTGCAGCACAGCTTCTTACCATCAGCGTGGTGGTATAGACCATCAAGTTGTGTTATGTACCACCAGAGTAAGTTGGTCAAACTCTGTTCTGAAGTTCTAGAAGTTTTCTTATTCAAATGAGTTGTTGAACTATCTTCTAGGTCCACTGTAGATGATCATAGCTGTGGCCTGAGCAGCTTGCATAGAAGCTGCAGTTGAGACAGGAAGATGCCCTGGAGAAGGAAGGTATTGGTGTGATCTGGGACCTCTCTGTGTGCAGCACACCTTGCGTGTTCCAGGGCTTCTGACTGAATGAAGCATGCACAAAGAAATGAGTCCCCCTTTCATGTGGAAGAGAGAGGTCAAAATTATTTCATGCTAGTTAAAGTGGACTCTAATTAAGGGGGCTTGAGGTCCTCCTATGCAAGGAAAGCCAGTAGGGACTCACCTGAGAGTTTGTTCTGAATCAACCAATAATAATGAGTTTCTTTGAAGAGTCTACCTCAGTTCCTGGCTGTTACTAAGAACCCAGCAGTTAATTAGACTGCAGAAACACAAAGTTCTTTGGAACAGCCAGGGACCGAGGTGGTTGTCTTTTTAAATGATCCTAAGAGAGAAAATCCACTTAGACACCTACCTGCGCGGTCATGCTCACATTCTACCCTTTTCTAGGAACCCATCACCGTTGTGACAGGCATCCACCTTGCCTTTCAGGTCAACACCTGATACAGAGGGGAATTTCATCCTGTACATCCTCTTTATATACTTCATAATCTGGTATTGTTGAAAGAGGAAAAAGTGAGGAAGGAGTGGCCAGCCCCATGCAAGGGGTCTAGAAGCATGTGCACATACAACCCCTCTGTGGGTGGAAAAGGACTATGACCAAGGCCAGGCAGTGCTACCAAAGGCTGCTCTTCCCTCAGCTTAGGGTAAGAGAACTCAGAACACCTAAAGAACAGTACTAGTGCTACAGAAGAATCAGAATCCAAGAGGCCTCAGGCTTTTACATGTACTCCCAAAAGAGCAAACTCTAGTCTAAACCTCTTTATCTAGCTGCACCCTTAGCAGCACATTAAAGGCTGGCCTTGGAGTTAAGAGGTCAAGAAGATTGATGGTTCTAGGAGTTTCTGGCTGCCTGCTCTCCTCTAAGTAGGTGCTTCCACTTGCTACTCGTATCCTCTCCTTACGTGTATGAGCTGTTACCCAGAGCACACAAGGAAAGCACAGAGAAAACATCTGTAATTGAAACTCATCATTTTAATGGTCAATAGTTTCTGGTTCACTCTGGATGGTACAGTTAAACAATATAGTTAAAGACACCATCACCCCCACCCTCCCCTCCCCAAAAAAATCACATCCACACCCCTCAGTAGTATCTGCTTCCATCAGCATTCCACTGCTCAGCTGGACGTGCACAGCTTCAGACCCCTTCTTGGGTTATGGAAATCCACATCTTAGTGTAATGAACCCCATGGTACACCCATGATTCATGTGTGTTTTGTTGTTGCTTTTTAAATAACAAATATTAACCAAAACCTTCCCAGGCTGCGCTGTTTCACAGAGCAAAGCTGTGACTGTTGCAATCTAAGTATTCGTCTCTCTGGGCTGGGCTCCCTTCCTCCAGAAATCATACAGCATAGAGTTCATAGATCTTCTTTACACAGTACACCAGGGCAGCAAGTGCTATTGTGTTGTGCAGTCTCTTTCTGTGCAGGTCGTCCTTCCGGACCAGCACCACTGGGGTGGAGGAGGTGAGTGTGTGCAGAGGCAGGCGAGACAGTTTGTAGGCATCGTACTCAACTTGGTACTTGCAACAAGGGTCGAACTGCCAGGAGATCCCATAGAGGGTGCAGCAGGCCAGGCTCAGCACCCCAGCAGGCAGGGAGATGTAATGGGAGTACTCCCGGGGCAGGGCTAGTGGGGTGCAGAGGCAGGTGGTGCCTGCTAGCACAGCCGTCTTGTGCAGGCAGTTGCCCACAGTGATCCAGCGCGCGGTCTCATCACCAATGCGTGTAGGCTCAATCACAATGTATTTGTACTGTGCCTCCAAGGCTTGCTCCAGCTCATACTCAAACTGGTCTTGGGCGTTCTCCCCATTGTAGATCTCGTGCACGATGTAACAGTCTGTGGCTGATAGGCTCACCCTTGAGTGAAAGGGTAGGAAAAGAGAGACATGTCAGACAGGAAGCACTAATAACTGTGCGGCTTTGCATAAGCATAGCATGAGGCCCCAGCTGGAGGCACCACACCCCATTTATGTTTATCTCCCACCCCAACGTTCTTAACAATCAGTGAAAGACTGTTTCTGAAGCCAGCCAGCCATGAGATGAGGAAGCAGTGGGGAAAGGGCTATTGCCCCTGAGAGGGACAAATAATGCAACAGTAGGCTGTGACCAGCCTGTAAGCCATCTGGTGGCCTGTGAGCCAGCAAGGATTCAGATTCCAAGAGTGTTGCCCAGAAAAAGTAAAAGGAAACAAAAACACAGGTCAACAGGGTGAAATCTGTTATTAATTGGGGTAATTACAGGAAGGTGCCTCTCATAAAACCACCAGCACCTGAGGCAAGTAGGCCAAACCCCTTACTCCAAAGAAGTCTTGGCCTTTAGCATAAGAAAGTCTTCAGGTGAAGAAGAAAAGAAAAACTGCCTCTGGGCCTTGTGGGTGACACACTGAGCAGGGCCCCCAAAGGTCACGAGCTCTATCGCCTGGCTCCTCATCTGGCTGCTGGAAAGCCTATCAGCAGAGAAGAGAGGCACTAGCTCCCTGGTTCATGGCTCAGCATCTCGGGACTCCCAGAGGACCACAAGAGGAGCCCTATTAAAGCAGACCTGACTCTAGTGACCAACCATCCCTGGCTCCCCTATACTGGATGGATGGTGTATCAGTCAGTGCTTCACTGGGGCAACCCAATCCTGTGTCCAGGCTGCTGCCCCCAGTGATCAGGCAGCATTTTCAGTCCCAACTTCCTACCCAAAGCAGCAGCTCCTCACCCCTGCCAGGCTCCCTAGACACAAGGCTTTGCATGCCTCTCAGTCACTGCAGTGAATGGCTCTATTTTTCCCGTCTGCCCTCCATTCTTGTTCTGTGTCATATGTTTAGCCAAGCCTTCTCTCCCATCACCACTCCTGGCTCCAGTTCATTTATCACTACCAGGCCATGCAGTGCCAACTTCTGGCACACCCTTCACTTCCATCAGTGAATAGTAGTTCAACTCCTTCCCAGCACACAGCCAGAGAAGAACTGTGACCAGTGGACCAGGACCTATGAGAGTGAATGGCTGTTTCCCTGCAGCCTCCATGTCACTCATCACGGCTCAGAAAAAGATTCTCTCTGGATTCCACTGAAGAACAATCGTCTTTTCATTAATGCAAAGCACTGACAACCAGTGAAAACTAGGGTTTCTCATCATTGAAGCAACCTCAGCACTCCTTCAAAGACAGAACTCATCTCTGGGAACTGAATTGTCAAGAAGCAAACTCAAGAGCAGGCAAGGTGATCAATGTGTGGACAGACAGGATTAGACAGCTCCTATCGGGCTCACAGGTGACTTCAGAACTTTAAATGGCAAACCAGTAAACACACCTTAAAAGAAGGTGGCTGCATTTACACTAGATAAATGACTCTCCATGGCTACATTAGAAATGAAGTCATGGGTTGTGGCATGGCAATGCCCCCAGGGAGCTCTGCTCTCAGGGTGGCAAACAAACTTTTATCCTGAAGAAACCACCCCATTGCAGTACGGTGAATTCTTACTCATGGTGACCCTCCACTGGATTGAAGAGCAGACGGCCTCATCTTTATCTTGCACAGCAGCTGGTGGACTTAAAACCACTGACCAACAGGTCAGCAGCCAACATGTAACGCGCTATGCCAACAAAGCTCCTTATGCCAAAGAATGTAACTGTAATTAGGCTAAGGTGAAAGCTTCTAATTAAATCACAGGTCCTAATTAAGCTGCGTGTACTGGGACAAGTTGGCTCCCCAGAGATGGGACAAGAAACCTCTCAAAGGCAGGATGATGCCAAAACATCCAGCTTCTGTGCTAGCAATCAAGGGTTCTGGTGAGTTAACCAGTTCTTTGAGAGCCCACTGGTGTTTCCAAAAAGGGCAAAGTAGGGTTTCCCTCTGACATCCACTGTGGAGTTTCTCAACTGTTTATTCATTCAGAGGAAAGAGATGTGTGAGAGAAGTCTGCTCCCATTGTACCTGCACAATTCGGCCTGTTCATTGCCACTTTTCAGTAAGCAGAGCATGCAGGTGGGCTTCACTCCTACTGCATAAATGACCAGGAACACATGCTTCCCTGTGACTGATCACCCTCCAGAAAGGACTTCCACCTGAGAAGTGGGGTCATCTTGGCCAAGACATGTCCTTTGTGTTCTCAAGTTCCTCAGCCAGAGTCCAGCCACATCAAGTGCAGAGGAGCTGTGCATCAGTCAGGGCCTGCTGTACATGGGAGGGAGGCTGTGAAGGGGCTACAGAGCTTCTCTGGGTGCTAATACCTTTCTTGTTGAAATCAACAGCAAAATGTGTCAGGGATGGGATTACCAAATACACATGCCCAAACCTAAATCCACCTTCTTGCAACTATCCTAAAATGCAGTGGAAAAATACTGTTAGTCCCAGTAAGGAAATTGCTCTGCACGCCCAAGTTCCCAGAACTTGGAAAAGAACAGCTGCATCCTGGAAAAGCATTGTGAGATCACCTCCTATTCCCTCTTCTGCCACCCTTGCCCCTGTGCGGTTTAGTCCTCTCCCTTTGGGGAGTCCACCAGGCACACTGGGCTGGGACAATGCTCTCTCCTGTGATTTGTTAGGACATGCTCTGTGTCTATGAGTCAAAATACACTCCCTGCTCTCACATTAGAGGCCCAGCCTAAGCAAGCACAGACAGCAACACAGTAGGCAAGATCTGGTCAAGGGTGGTCAGGTCCTTGTCAGGAGGGGCTGCCCTCAGCTGTAGAGCACTCTTGCAAACACTCAATCTTGGAGCAAGGGGTGAACACAGAGCTTCACTCACTCCATGACCAAATTCCCAGGATGTCCTAGAGACTGTTTCATAGATACTTACCAACAACTGCCTTCCTTGCAGAGTTAACACATCTGTCTATGGCCATACCACCCTGAATGCCTCGTCAGAGTTAACACACCTAATTCCTGTAGTCCTCAATGTCTTAATATGGGCCAGGAAGAGCATCCTAGACTTACGGTCATTATTTATTACACTAATATATCTTACTAAATCAAAAAATAGACAGTGTAAAAAAATCAGAAGAGCACAAGCTCGTTTTCCAGGCTCTTTCAGAGATTAAAGAAGTCTTTGGACTCAGGGCAGCTGGCAGTGTCCACAAGCACCCCAAGACCTCACTCACAAAGCCTAGAAAAAGACAGACACCTCTCTACTTATTCTCTACTGAGAAAAGAGACCACCTAAAGTCTACCATCAAGTGCTCTGATGGCCTTGGGAGGAAGAAGCTGCACTGCCAGTTCAGCACTGGCAGCTGGAATCCACCAGCTGCTCCATGGGAGAAAGATGGGCGATTTGTGCCTTTGGAAACTCTGTGGAAGGTCAAGTCAACTATAACTCAATGGCACATAGCAACAACAAAGTCTACAAAATTAGCTGACCAGTATTCTACCATCATGCACAAGGAAAGAAGCAAATAATTCCTACCAAAAACCTAGACAGACAAAATAGGACGACTTGTCAGTACTCATAATCTATCTCAAGTTTCAGGCAAACCAGGAACCTGGATTTGGTTCTGCAGATTGACCCTGCAGGCCTAACTTCTTTAGGTTAGGAAGTTTAGAGAGAGCCATTTCCAACTACTGTCCAGCCACTCCAAGCATCTGCCTGGGGTGGAAAACTATTTTCTGTTCTATCATGCCAGAACTTGGGGGGACCCAGTAAGCAAGCACCGAATCTACAACCTTGGGCTATCCCAACTATAGCACAGGGAAGCAGATTAAAAAAGCTAGAGATTCATTCTAGACAGTAGACAGAGTCCAGACCCTCTTTCAAGTAAGACATCAGAAATTTAAGATAACAGATATGGATAATTCTGGACCCTTGAGTTGTTGACAACAGATGGAGGAAACGGAATGAACACACTGAATTCTAAACAAATGAAATACACACCTTACAGAGTAGAGAGAGAAAAAAACAGTAGAGCACTGGAAAAATGTTACAGACCTCTCCAAAGAGTAATGATGTAAATAAAATCCCCAAAACAGAAGGGCTAGTGTTTGGAAAAAGACATCATGCTGGGAAAGATAAACGGTCAAAGAAAGAGGAAGAACTTCAACAAGATGGATTTACACGATGACTGTATCAATTGGCTTGAGCACATCTGAGACGTGAGGATGGTACAGGAGAGGGGCAAGGTTCATGCAGATACAAGGAAGATGAGTATTAGATGCAAACTAAAAGAACAATGAGGATTAATGGATCATGTCAGAACAGCAGTGGAGTTTAAAAAAAAAGTCCTCACGAAGAGAAAGATACATGAAAACAGAAGATGTAAGGAGATAAAGACCTTCCCCCATAGCCAATAAAGAGAAAACATTCCCCTAAAACGGGTTCTCTCAGTTTAGACTATTAATCCCTAAACTTTGAGGAAATAGTATCTGTCCATTAAATACACAAAAAATATTCTCACCACTAGACTGATAGGCGGCATCATGACAGATGGAGAAGACTGAATCCGTCAACACTTTCATCTTACTTAGATCCACAATCAATACCCTTGATACTAGCAGTCAGGAGACATATTGCACTGGCAAAGTCTGTAGTCAGGGACCTCTCAAATTACTGAGGAGCAATGAAATTCTAAGTTTGAGGACTAAGGGTTTGTCAATTCAAGCCATGGTCTTTTCAATCACTTGATATACACATGAGAGTTGGACTGTGACTAAGGATGACAAAAGACGATTTCATACCTTTGAATTGTGTTGTTGGAGAAGAGTGATGAGTATCTTACGGACTGACAAAAAAAAGAAAGAAAACAAACCCCAAATAGATGTGTCTTGGAAAACGTGCAGCCAGAGTGCTCCTGGGAGGCAAAGAAGATAAACTTCATTCCACATACTTTGCAAGGAGAGGTGATTCCTTAGAGAGGGACATCATGCTCGGGAAGATGGAAAG